TCACATTGGTTACATGGTCACAATGATAGGTTTTGAAGTATAAATAGCAAAGTAAAAGTATTTTTGATAATGCTCCTGCTAAAACTATCTCATGATGTTTCTAAAGACCAAGATATTAACCACACACTATATACATAAACCGTGCATGTATGTATATGCATGCTTATATTATATATATATATATATGTATGTATATATACACATTGTTTTATTGAACTATTACTATCGTTATTTTTCAAGTATCTATAGTTTTGGATATTACGAGGCAATTAATATATATATAAAAAACCTTTACGTATTACAAAATATTGGTACGCAAATTAATCTCCTCAAAATTTGTTTTGAGCAGAAAAAATTAAAGGCTTCTGTAATTTAGGTTGGTGGGGGGGTCCGAATTCTCAGTGATTACTATTAATTATTATGATTATTAGACCGACGAGCCCGTAACATACGTCCATCAAAATCCGCTCCTAATTATATTACTAATCACTCTTGTTCGTTTACGTTAAACACTGTAATTTTCCTCCTAATGATATTGGTCATTCACCAAATGTTTTTTTGCTATTATTTAAATCTAAATTATTTCTTTCATTTTCATGGGAAACAATCCATACTCTATATAGGTCTGCCCAAAAAGGAGAAAAAAAAAACAAATTAATAATTCGTGAACCAAAAAAAAAATTCAAAAACAAATTAAATGAAGACATATGGTTCAAAATAGAGGTCGATACTTGGGGTGCATAATCGTGTTCAAATTTAACCAAACTAAACACTTATTTTTTAACGGAAATAATTGATTTTTAATTTATTTAACCAAAAATATAAAAGCAAGTGAGAAAATCTATATATAAAATAAGAATATTTTAAAATGATAATGATGTAAATTTAAATAGAATTAAAATCAAATTTTAAACTCGATATTAAAATAAAATAGATAGAATATCTTTAAAAATCTAAATAAAATAACACACAAATCACGGAATTGAAACAAAACTAAAAAAAGACACCGAACGTGGGTGCGGGTGAATGGAGTCTGTGTGGGCTGTGATTCAACATTCATAAATGGGCTTTCTATTTAAATTTTGTAAATGGGCCTAAATTAGTGTGGCAAAGACAACTCTCGGCCCACTCGTGTATTTTTTTATCATTGATTTAATGCTAGATTTTTATAGATTTAAAAATCCAAATAATTTAAATCTGACATGAGATTTTCCACATTATATTTACAAATCCACCACTGAAATATTTCAATTCGAATCATTATTTTATTTTTATAAATTGACTGTTTTCGTGCATAGTCTCAATTCCGTAGATTTTTGTTGATATAATACTAAATGATGAAAAAAGTTGGAAAAAATAAGTTTGTAATATATAATATATATTGACTGACATTTTTCTTTTTGAAATTATGATATTTAAATTACCTTTTTTTACTAGAAAATAATTTCGTAGACTACGAGAGAAAAAAATTATGAGTTATCAAGCGATTACACGCAGTCACATATGCGAATCAAAGTTTATTTAATATATATCACAAGGTATCAATATTTTAGATTTCCCTTAGTTTACTTTTTTATTTTGTTGTTTTAATTTCATAAAAAAAAATAATTGTCTGTTTTTACATATTTTTATTCGATTCGATATCAAATTTATTAAAAAGTATTATATATTTAAATTTTATCTCAGTGTTTCGATTTTATTTTTGTATTTTATTCGAATTAAATTAATTTAATCTTGTAACCTATGCTATTCAATTAATTGGCAAAAGATATTGCAATGTATGTTAAATAGTTGAAACGGTCACATACACGCCATTCTTATTTATTTATTTATTATTCATAACTAATCCTCCAATTTTATATTTTTCTGGTGCCCCTGATTAAGTACAAGCACATGGGAGCCCAAACTTAGATTCACTTCCTTAATCATATATTAAAATCTAACGCGATCCATACATGCTGTTAATTAGGTTTAATTATATTATTTCATGTTGCTAACAATTTGGTGAAGTGGACATTTCATATTTTATAGAATTAGTTTGGGATAATACTTTTTTAAGCTAGTTTTAAATTTTAATCCTACCCTTTTCTTTCTATATTCCATCAAGATAATCTTTTTTTTTTTTCCTTATGCGAACATTTTTCTTTATACAAATGACTAATAATCTTTTGCGGTTCGTAAAAATCAATTACCCATTTTAGAATACATTTCTATCAAATTACTATTGAAAAAACAAAATAAATAAAAAACTGTGAACCGATATTTATTCATTATTATTATCTATCAAATGAATTTAATTAGATAACATAATAATTCTTTAAATAAAAATACAAACGTAGAAATAATTTTTTTATGCTTAATTTTTTTTAATCTTAGAAAAATAAATAAATGAACGTAACATGGTAAACTTTTTGAAAGCAATTAAGATAAATTACTAAGTCTGTGTTCAATTAAATAAAAACTGTATCACTTTTTGTTTACCACCGGCTATAGGATAGTCGGACCAAACTGCCATTAATATACTTGACCTAATCCTTTACATTTTCATTATTTCTTTTATTGACTCCAAAGAAGAATTCAACAAAAAAAAAAACAATTAACATTTTAAAAAATATCTTATAGTTTATAGTTATAAAAAATATCTTAAAGTTTTCTCAAACTTACAATATTTTCTGCTATCTTATTTTACAATTTTAATTCCAACAGTGTTAAAACCAAATTATCAAAATCTTATATTTACTGCAAAGTCTGGATTTTGTATAATTTGTAATGTGTCGAACTTTTCTCCTGCAGGTTTTACTTTGAAAAGTTCAGAAATTATATATATGTATGTATATATATATGTCTGTGTGATTAGCCATGGGGCCCCACCATGTGAAGCATCATCCTTGTCGGCCCAATTGTCTTCGTCCATCTGTTTGGTGGTTGTCCAAACAAATAAAACCCTACACACATTTAATTTCATTTTTCAACATCTTCTATAAACATCGAGTTTTATAAATGATAAATAAAATTGATATAAATAAGCACAAAAGGATGAGCGTAAAGTGGAACTAAGAAGTTTCAAATATGAGTATGATACCACTTTCAGTCTAAAAAGTCGTTATATCTTATTGTTTTGTCACAATTTATAAACTTTATGTGTCCGAATTTCATATATAAAAATGGTACAAAATTTATTTATTGTTATCGTGTACCGATTATGATTTACAAAATTGAATTGACGATTATGTATGTTTTAAAATTAAATTAAAAAATACTAACAATTTTTCTAAAAATATAAAAATAATCTAAAAAATGAAAGATGTTTTTAAGATTTTTTTAATAAATTATAAAAATTAAATATAGTTAGATAGATACAAAATCTGAGATAAAAATCAAATGTGTACATATATATATATATGTATATTTATTTATTTAAAAAATTCAAATTCAAACTAGAAATATGCCCTAGTTTTTGCATTGCCAAAAAAAGGTCAAATACCCCATTTAAAGAGCGGAATTTAATTTCCATGATGACTTACAATTTAATTTATTATTATTATTATTATTATTATTATTATTATTATTATTATTATTATTATTATTATGTGCACCCCCTTGTCTTCGTATGTTTATATTTGCCACCTACACAATTATTTTCATAATTAAATTTTATTTAATAATCATCAAAATTAAAACAAAAAGAAAAAGAAAGATATATCACATTATGTCTTTGTCCTATCCTCTTACTTATTTTCTTTATTACCCTATAATATCATATATTCAAATAAAAAGAAAAGAATATAATTATAATGAGAAAAAAAGTATGTCTAGAAATAAAACTATAATGATAACAAATATAATATATAAAAATTCGCGCATGATAATATCTCTCCATTTACGATTTCAATTTTCTTTTTTTTTTTCCACTTTTGTCGGCAAGGATTTCTACCATTTTAACGCAGTCAAAACATAAAAATGAAAAAATAAAGAGTGCAAAAGAAGCCAGCCCCAATTTTTTTTAATTAAAAAAAGTAATTTAATGTTTTGAAATTAATAAATCTTAACCCCAATCACGGATCCTAAGTAAATCCGATGCGGGTCCCACCAATTCTGAAATATTAATAATATTATATTTTCCGCTTACTTTGAAGATTGTTATATTCGTTTTCAACTCTCACGAATATAACAATCTTCACGAATATAACAATCTTCAAATGGATATATATAATTTCGAAGTATTTACTGTTACAAAACCGATATCAAATTACCAATCAATTCACATTAAATTATTCAATTTAAATTAAAAAATCGATTAAGTACATTATTTAAAAATTAAATAAATAAATAAAATAACTCTTTTCTAAATAAATATGTTAAAAAAACTGAAATTGATTACAAAATCGAAAGAAGGAAACCTTAAATAAAACTAATTTTGAACATTGTATACAACTGAACTGACATCCTCAGTTTAATTTTCTAATTTCGAACATTCATTGCTGAAAATTATCAAAGCTTAAAAAAAAAATGTGATCGTTTCGATGACTCCTATGGATCAAGAAAGAGGAAAAAAAAATACGTATTTTTAATTTAAAATTGAGCGAGATTGCACAGACACCAATGACGAGATGAGTCGAATTGGTGGTGGTGGTGGCCATGAGTAGTTTCTTAAATACATATAAGTAATAACCTTGTTAAAATAAATATAAATCTAATATGTATGAATAGGATAATTCGATGATAATTACGAAATAAATTAACGGTAATTTTGCAAACGAGTAAAAATATAAAAACGGTAAGATAGGACTTTTGGAAAAAGAAAAACCAAATTCGAATTCCGTTTTTGGGATGAATTGGGTAATTTGCAGTCTCCTAACGTATATAATAAAATATATCGCCCGACCCATACCCTAACCAAAGTATTCGCATTTCCATGTCCTCGGAACGAATCACGGATCCACATAGTTTGTATCTCAACAAGAACAAATCAACATTCAAGCAAATTTTGTAACCGGATATCTTAAATCATTTTGTAATTAAATCAAACCAGTAGAAAGCCAAGCAGATTATATGTCTTCTAATAAGATCATTACACCAATCCCATAAAAACAAATCAAAATAAAAATGTGAATTGAGTTACACTAACGATATTAGCAAATCCAAAGGAAAAAAAAATAGAATTTAAACAACAATGGAAGTGAAGAAATTCAATAAAATTAATCGAAGATAGTGAGCAAAAGATGTTTGCTCCTCTTTTTATCATATGATCTCTCTCTCTCTCTATACATACAAGTTTTCCACCATTTTTAGACCTTTATTTTCACCATTTTTAGAGAAAAATTCTCTGCGTACGTACCTCTCAGCAAGAATGTGATGAACAACGCCGTCTTTTTATACCCAGTTCAATCTGATAAGGTTGTCGGGACGACACCACTTGAATGCCTGATTTCTGGGTTGTTTTTCATCCGAACGATAAAAATTTCTAAAAGAATCAGTAGAATGGCGGTGGTGGAGGGGAAGCGTATGACACTCCGATAACCGGCGGTAACGGTCCTTCATATACAGGCGGCGGTGGCGGGCTGTGGTGGACCACCGGAGGCGGAGGTGGGCTGTGGTGGACCGCCGGAGGCGGCGGAGAGTTGTAGTGGTATACCGGCGGGGGTGACGGTGAAGGTGGAGGCTTGTAGATGACCGGTGGTGGAGGAGGTGAGTACTCAACGCACGGCGGAGGTGGAGGTGGCGGTGGCTCTATACAAGGTTGTGGGGGTGGAGGGGAATATACCGGCGGCGGTGGTGGCGGCGGGGATAAGTATGGATATACTGGTGGCGGAGGCGGCGGAGAATGCGGTGGTGGAGGTGAATAGTGACGGGGCGGCGGTGGCGAGCTGTAATAGTAAGGCACCGGCGGTGGTGGAGAGAAATGAGGCGACGGCGGAGGCGGTGAGTGCGGTGGCGGAGGAGGCGGTGGGCGGGTGCAGTAAATTGGACTCGGTGAGGGAGATGATGGCGAAGGAGGTGGAGTCGAGTATACGGGCGGAGGAGGTGGAGAGTATACCGGAGGTGGCGGCGGAGGGAAGTATACCGGTGGAGGAGGTGATGGCGGCGGCGGCGGGGGAGAGTACACCGGTGGAGGAGGTGATGGCGGCGGCGGTGGGGGAGAGTACACTGGGGTGATGGAGGAGGGTAGACCGGCGGCGGAGGAGATAGAGACGACGGTGGAGAATAAACCGCAGGCGGCGGTGGAGGAGGTGAAGATTGAACAATTGGAGACGGCGGTGAAGGTGACGGTGAAGGTAACGGCGGAGGAGGTGGCGGCAATGGGTGAGCCACCGGAGGACTTGGACGAGGAGTAACAGAACCGCCGCCGCCGCCGCCACACTTGAACGAGCCACAATCCACCGGTGGACGAGACAAGAATGCCGCACATTGTCCCGGCGACCGCTGAGCGGGTCTCGCCGGCAAACAGTTTCTCTCAAAACCCTATGATTTAGGAAGACAGACCGGCGGTTCTCCGGTGAAATAGTTGTAGCTGAATGTGAAGTTCTCAAGCTTCGGGAGCTGACAGATACTCGCCGGAATCTTGCCGGAGAGTTTATTATGCGCCACATTGAGCTGCTCCAGCGCAACCATCCTTCCGACAGCTTCCGGCAACGGGCCCACGATCTCGTTGAAGCTGACGTCGAAGACTGTGACGTTTCTCAGCCTTCCAATATCGGTCGGTAGACAAGATTTGAACCCATTGTTCATGAAGATGATCTCGTTGAGGTTCTTCATGTTGCTCAAACTCGCCGGAATACAGCCATGGAAACGATTGTTAGCAAGAACAATGACAGAGACAGGAGAGTTTCCGAAATTTTCCGGCAACTCGAACTGGAACCTGTTGTGGTTGATGAAAATGGCGTCGAGATCTTTGCTGAAGAGCTCCTTGGGAACAGTCCCTTCGAACTCGTTGAACCTTAGATCCAAGAACTTCAACGACGGCAACTGGAGGACCACCGTCGGGAACTTTCCGGCGAATCTGTTATTGCTGAGATCGAGCTCGAAGAGAAGCTTGAGCTGACTGAACCGATGCGGTACGGTACCGCAGAACCGGTTCGAGTTGATGTGGAACAAAGCCAGATCTGTCAACAAGCCAAGCTCTTCAGGCAAGTACCCAGCGATGTCGGCGTGGTTGAGATCGATACCGGCGACGGTACGGATCTGGGGGTTGTCAGGAGCCGGAGCGCAGAAAACTCCGGTGTAGTTGCAGACATTGGATCCGACCCAGGTCTCGGTAAAATTGAAAGGATCAGAGAGAATGGCCTGTTTCCAAGCTTGGAGAGCTACGTAGGCACTTCGGAGCCTAGGGTTTTCGAAGACGAGAGAAGGGTCGACTGTGACATTCTCACCACGGTCGCCGAACTCGTCGCGGTAGTACAGGAGCTGTCGGTGTCGGATGACTTTAACTTCGTGGTCGGAGAGACGGCCATGGGAGGTGACGGAGAGAGAATGAGAGAGGCCCGCCAAGGAGATGAGGATGAGAAGGAGACGGAGAGGTGGAGGAGGATGAGGTATGGTGTTCTGGGCCATCTTCCTCATCTCATCACACCAGATTCCAGATCTGAGAAGAATGGCAGAGGGATGAAAATTCGAAGTGCGAGGAAGGGCAAAACGGGGAAATGTGAGGGATATAGCCTTGTTGTAAGAAGAGGGGAGAGGAGCTTTGTGTTTCTGTGTCCGAAATAGAGAGAGAGAGAGAGAGAGAGAGTGAGGAATATAAATGAAAGAGAGACAACTCAATAACAGCTCACGCCTACGCATCTTATCTCTCTCCTCTCGCCTCTCTTTCTTTTTTTTTTCTTCTTCGAAATTTCCTTTTATTTATTAATAATTTAGTATTTGATTTCGCTTTTTCTTATTTTATTGTTATTCATTTAAATTATAAAAATATGAATGGAGCCGTGTTTTTTTTTATTCACGTGAAGTCCATTTACAAAAATGGAGCTTCTAGTTAAATTCTGTTTCCTAATGTCTATGACAGTATTGCACCAAAAATAAATATTTTGTTAGTGAATCAAAAAATTCACAAAAAATGAAATTCAGCGTACCAGAAATAAATAAAATCATATATATTTCACTGTTTTTATTTGTTCACAGTGAAATTTCACTGTTTTATCTGTTCACTGTTTACTGACATGTCGCAACAGTACTTGCAAACTCGCAATTCACGCTTTCTTCGGCCAAAAAAATTACAAAATACAATTATTATTATTATTATAGAATGCGTCTCAAAAATATACATAAGTTATAAAAAAAAATCATAAGAGCTTATGAATTTAAAATATTTAATTACAACAAATGAAGTTTTTCGACACTATCAAATAAATACGTACATTTTTAAAGACAATCAGACTCTGCTAACGATTATAAGATAATAAGAAATGTAAAAGCATAGTTTTATAAAATTTATGTTGAAATATTATATATATATATATATATATATATATATATATATTGCCCCTTTTGCTCCTTTCCGTGGGATTCCTCCTTTCATCAAATCCCACAGAACAAAACAAAGAGAGATTTAGGAATAAAGACATCTATATGACAATTATTTCGACTCATTATGATTAGTTAACACTAATTATTGTCTCATCTTTTTCTTTTCTTTTTCTTCACGACAACAAAATTTTTAAAATAAAAGAAACATTTAAGTGTTAATAAATGATTTGATTTTAATTAATAACGCAAAAAAAAATGCCTCAACAAATCGGTCGACCGTGAAAATATGTACGACTAATTTAATGCATAACCGGTGAAATTTGGTCATCTCACGAGGTCCTTTATCAATGTATTTGTTTTTTTTCTCTTTTCGATTTCACGAGGGTTTTGAGAATTTCATCTTAAATATTATAGTTATAATGTTATTCCTAATTGTTGCCATGTACATATATTTATTTGAATCCAAAAACATAAGCTATGATGATTAAGGATTTCACGGCTGGAACTTAGGCAACTCGCACCAATCCCGCATATGGATGGGGTCGCAGCCGCTTAGGAAATATTATTTTTTTAACCTATGTATTGAATTTTTTATTTTTATATAAACCAGAGTCAACAAAATATCAATTACGTATAATAAAAACAAAACAAAATCTACCTTCGATAGCCAAATAATTCCAACATTTGTTATGTACAAATAGCAATGATACAAAGAGTTCGACGACCGACTCCATGCGAGGTTCATCTGCAACCCTAAACCCCAAACGTTCCTATCATTACAAATTATATGCACATACGAATTTTTGTCTTGTCTTTTATATTATAGTTTTAGCCTCAGTTGCACAAATAATGCCACATGTCAGCAAACCGTGTGGGGACATATTGCCACGTCAGAGTAGGTTATATTCGTCTCAAGTCCAGCTGGCAAATTGAGTCACGGAATAGTCCATTTTCCAAAGTCTATTCTGGTTCAAAAGATATATATATATATATATATATATATATATGTTTATTTATTTCTAATGTAGACATCGATGTATACGTATATTTATACATGTATGTATTTTAACATTTTTAAAAGTCACAACGGTTGCTTTGTAGTTTCCAATGATACGTACGTGTTGGTTCGGTGCAAATTCCTCGGTTTACGTGTTGAGGTTGGAGTCCTCGGTCTTTATGAGGAAATCTAGTAAACCCGTTTTTAAAACTCGTTCTGATTTTACTATATAGTTGCAAGCATATTTACTTCTATATATACAAATGTTATATCCGATTAATTTGATATTGCATATTATATATAGTTTTTTTCTTGGATTTTTTTTTATCTCCAATTTAGTAAATGTTGTGAAAAAGATTTATGATGTAACTCTTCAACTTGATGGCCTCGAGTACTAATTGCATGGGATTGTATTGTTTGATTTTAACCGGTTGTTGGGAGTTTGTGACAAATCATTAATACCACCTTGTGTTTTAAATATTATTTTCTATGTAACGGAAATACATAAATAAAGATTTCTCGAAAAAAATATTTTCATTTTGAAACATTTTTAGGGCCATGCAATTTCGGTTATTCAATGGGGACATTATCAAAAATACCATTATTTTGCTATTTCTATTTCAAGACCTACCCTTGTGACCATGTGACCGAAATATAGTATGGTCACATATTGATTTCATTGTTCATAACGTTAAATTTATGATGTTTTAATCAAATGATTAGTAAGATATACAAGGTATGAACATAATGAATTAGTGTGATCACCATAAATTTAACGTTATAATCGATATAAATCAAAATGTGACCATACTATATTTTGGTCACATTAGTCATATGGTCACAAAGGTAGATCTTGAAGTAGAAATAGCAAATTAAGGGTATTTTTGATATAATGACTATTCAATGTGCACTAATAGCTCTAAATGGAATAATACTAACGTATGTGTTGTGCATGCATGGTAACCGTCCTCGTCACCCGATAATCATAAATGGACCGTCCCAATCTTTACACAATTATAAAACGAATTCCTCTAAACAGACCCCTAATTTTGAACATTTTATACATAAGTCCCCTTATTTTAAATTTAAAGCCTAAAGCCCAATCATATCAGTCAAATCATGAGATTTTGAATTTTGATTTCGGGAAGAAAAAATCATTCCATAGCCCATTAAAATTCGTACAATGGGTCTACTGCCTCATAATGTAGTTACGGGGTTAAATTTGGTAAATCAAAAGTAGTTTTGAGGCAATTTTTTTTGTGGGAGCAACAAAATTAAATTTCGAAACTAGAGGGGTGTCTTTTCAGTTTTCGAGAGAGGCCCTACCAAAAGAGGCATATGGGCCAAATGCGTTGGGCCCATCGAAGATGAAGGAGACATCAGTATCACGTTCCCGCTCGGTTGGGTCCCACGTGTCACGATCTCCACCGCTGGATCCTCGGCTATTTTCCACTTTTTCCCGCTCGAAACCGAAAGCCTCGTGACATATAGTATACATGTGTATGCACCAACACATACATACATATATATATATATAATGTACATACATACATATAATACGTATATACACATATATATAATACAAACAGATGCATATACCTGTTGGGGGGTGGTGAACCGCGTCCCTTATTTACGCTCCTTCGTCGAATCATATCCTTTTTTCTGTTGATAATAACTTTTTGAAAAGTGTTTATATTTTTTTTTGGTAAAGTGTTTATATTTAATATTATTGCATTGTAAAGTGTATAAACATAAAAAGTGTATGCGTGTATATATATATATATACGCATACATTTTTTGCTTGTATGCGTTGTCTGATGCCTAGTATATTTTTAGAGCTGTTCAATCATTTTTTTTAAGCTCAATCATTTTTGTTTATAAACAAATTTAATTTATTGGATGACTCCTAAGCTTGTCTTTTAATTAATTAATAAATTAAAAATTCGGTTGGTAAACAGATATTATAGATTCGTGTCTTAAAATGTAGTCTTGATAATATATAATTAATTTTTTTCAAAAGTAGTTATAAATCGTTACGGCATTAGTCTACTACCTAACGAGTGCTTTAGATGGCGTCTGAAACAATGTTTTTATTTAATTCCATAAGTAATTTTTTTTTATCGTTTCGATACATTTCGGACTAATTTAATATAAAAAATAATCTTATAATATCCAATTACAAATTTTTAAGTGAGTTAAAAGTGGTTTTATCAAATTAAATGCATCATATATATATATATATATATATTCAAATACATGCAATAGAGAAATGCATTTGGATATGAGTTTTTTTCCCCGTCGGCTGTTCCAATAATTAGTTTCTGAGTAATATCATATAATTTTAAAATTTAGTCTAAATATCATTCTAATCATTTTATTCAAGAACTTGATTTAATTTTCATTTTCTCTCTCTTCTGCTTATTTTATTATTTCTAATTATACCCATAATTTTCAACTCTGTATCTGAACCCTAAATATTAATATATAACTCTTAAAATCTAAGTCTAAACCTTAAAACAAGCACAAAGCCTAAAACTCTAAATCATAAACTCAAAACCCTATGATTTAGGAAGATATAATATTATTTGTAGTTTTTATTAAATAAAAATTTCAGACACTAAATATTTTAAGAAGTGTTATAAAAACATATATTGTCTTGTCAATATATATATATATACATTTATAAATTTTCAATTTTTAATATATAATATAAATTTTATATATCCTTCCATAAACATAAAAAATATAAAGTTAAAATAAGCATAAGTCATCATTATTTGTAATTTTTTTATAAATTTAAATGTTATAATTAATAGGTATAAAACTATATTAAATGATCGTACTTCTCATTAAAACTCTTTTTTTCCCCATTTTCTATATGAAGTTTTTTTTTTTCCCGTCGGCCGTGTCAATTATTAGTCTTGTTTTTTATTAAAAGAGAAAAAAAGAAGAGGCAGAAACTGGGAGGGGAGGGCCAACAATTCTCGAGCTGTAGCTTTCCCTGTGTTTTTTCCCCGGCAGAAAATAATGGAAGAAAAAGTGAATTTTTATAATTAGAGATTATATATATACATACACACATATATATATATATATTTATAATTAGAGAATATATGTATATGCGTGTATATATAATGCGGAGAGTCATCATTATATATACGTTTACTTCTCCTTTGGGGTATAATAATTTTAGGCGCATTGAAGCGTGATCGACATTTTCATCGACGATAATAATTGCCCTTATATTTATTTATTATATTCAACTAACTACAAAAAAACACTAAACACAAAATAAGTTTGATAAAATCAAATCATTTGGACCAACATAGAAAAAAACTACACATTTATCCATCGACATGTCATATAATATATATATATATATATATATATATATATATATTACAATGATTTTTTTTTTCATTCTCCCTAATAACGAATTTTTCATCGTGAATTGGGTTAAACAAACAGTTTCAAAATAATTCTAAGTCGGACCCTTACCGGCCCATTTAAGTTTATGCAGAATTACCGGTTTGACGCTGTTGTGAAAATGGGCCAAACTGGGTGAAGCATTCAGTCGGTAAATGGGCCATAAAAAGCCCATTAACGGGAATAGCAAATGGCCCAATAATCCTCGTCGACGGTCCATCAGATGACCGCGACAATTCTCCGTCGTTGGCTGAAGAGCTCACCGGTGATGCTTCTTTGTCCGACCCGGCGAAAAACCCTAGATATTGGTGGTTTCATGTTCTATTCCGACTTCTCGACCTCAATAATCGACAATCTGGTGATGGCCGTTCCTCCGTTGATGGCGAATTAGGTATATCTTGTCGCAGGAACCCTATATTTCTTGTATTTGGTTTTGTTCTTCTTCTGGGTTTTGCTCGAAGATGGGTGACAGTGAAGATGATGCGAGGTACCCAAAGAAGATTTACTCTCTGAATCGCCAGAACCATCCGATGTACAGCCGTCCAATCCCCAAGCGTCACGCTTATTACCGGGAAGAAGAAGATGACGATGAGGAAGAAGAGGATGAAGAACTCAACGAGTATCCGGAGCAGAACGACGACGAAGAAGACGATGCGCCACAAGGTTATAGTCGTAAATTCGGATCGTGCGAGGGGCTAGAGAGGTTTCCGAAGAGGCAGAAGCAGAGCAAACCCATATCTGGGTATGAGTTCGCGGGTCCGAGCGATTCGAAATTGGCTCAGCATTGGTCGGATCACGAGGCATTTGTGTTGTTGGAGGTTTGGGGGGACAGATTCTTGCAATTGGGCAGGAGAAGCTTGAGAAATGAGGACTGGAACGAAGTTGCTGAGAAAGTGAGCGAGGAGCTCAGGGTTGAGAAATCGGAGACGCAGTGTCGGAGTATGATGGTCAACTTGAAGGGGAGGTATAAGAAAGAGAAGACGAAGTTGGAGAAATCTGGATTGGGTTCGAGCAAGTGGGTGTTCTTCAACAAGTTGGATATGTTACTAGGGCCGTCGTCTCGGTCAGATTCGGGTTTAGCTTGTGGGGTTGATTCAGGAGAGTTTGTATTCATGAACACTAGGGTTTATTTGGACAAATCGAATGGATTCGACGAGATGATGGACAGTCCTGGTGATTCAGAGATGGGAGATGAAGACGAAGAGGAAGATGATGCTGTCGAGGATAGACGGAGAAAGGTTGTCGATTCAGGCTCATACAGGCTGTTAGCTGATTCTGTTCAAAGATTTGGGAAAATATATGAGAAAATCGAAAACAGTAAAAGAGAACATATGAGGGAATTGGAAAAGATGAGAACTGATTTCCAAAGAGAACTGGAGTTGCAGAAGAAGCAGATTGTGGAGAGAGCTCAAGCTGAAATTGCCAAGATACGAGAAGAAAACGACGATGGAGAAGAAGATGATGACGATCATGATGACAGTGAACCTGAGGAAATGGACAATGATTCGGCCACTAATCTCAGTGAATAGCTCTGGTGGGTTGTTCAATTTGCCCTGCAAAGGTTCTATCTTTTGATGTTGAAAATTGAGAATTGGAAAGCTTGCAACTCTCTTGCTTTGATCTGTCATTATTAGGCCTTGAGTAGAATGTAACCGTGATAGTTAATATCCCATGCATTTATATCTTTCCTTGGGAGGGAGATACAGTTTCAGATTGTTTTGATTTTTTTCAAATCAATCTCTTGCTTTCCAATGATGTCTCCATTTATGTTGTTCATTCTAGAAGCTAAACTATGTCTATCCAGTTCTGTAGGAATTCTGCTCTCATGGTTTTTGCTGGAGATTCCGTTGATTATGTCATAATCTCTTTTGGTTCAATTACTGCCTTATTCTCTCCCCACCTGATCTTAAAGCTTTCGTGATCAAATGCTGAATAATAATCTGAATTCAATGCACAACACCTGTTTGAAACCAGGGATCAAAAGTTCTAGTCATGTTCACGAAGCCCTCCACAGCATTGGCTTGTTTAAAGATCATGATCCGATCTCGAGACGATTCCACCCTCTTATCTGTTCATCTCATTTGTCCACGAAGTTGAATCATTCTTATCTCTGATAGAATCGTTGATAAGATCCTGAGTTTGGTACGAGGAAGTTATCTGGTTATCAGAGAGAATTCAGATTTCTTTTTGGGGTTTCGACAGTCGTAAAGGTCTCAACTTTTTTTATATTTTCGGGAGGTTTGATTGGAATGTTTCTTAGATTTCCTTCGTTTCTATTAAACCCTTTTTTCTGGAGTTTCTCTAGAATCTCTCGATTTATTACCATATCGGGAGAATTTGAGGAAACCCTAAAGACGATTTTGACCAATAGTACTGCGGCGGACGTCTAACTCGAAGAAAAGGGACGCACACTGTCACTGAGGATGATGCTTAGAGTATTGCAGAATCGGACCAGAACTTCTGTCAAGTTCATACCTTGTCGCGCCCTAATTTCTAATTGATATCTGGTTTCAGCTTACTTCAATCTCATAGCTCACCATTTTTTTTGGTTGAAACAGCTCGAGTCCCTCGTTCCGACAAGGTTTTTTGAGCTCCGAGTCATGTGTACGGAAGTTCTGTGGAGCCGTACGAGACGGTCCGAAGGATGAAGGAGACTGGTTTTACTCGTCGGAGTGGTGGGAACCTGATCACGGCGGCTACACGGTTTTCCGGTCAAACTCCGACAAAGGAAACGGCGTCGTCTCCGTCGTCGCACACCCTTCTTCTAGACCTGTCAGTGCTTGCATATATATATATATATGAATCCGTGTGTGCGTATGTTTGTGTAGTTAAGTTACAGGTGCTTTGCTTATAAATGCAAATGTGTATTCAGTGAGAAACACTGAAACTTGAATTTGTCTGAGAGTTATATTGGCTTGGTAACTGGTAGTTGATGGGTTTATCTGTTGAAAGCTTCCATGGCTATGGATTGTTAATTGAAAGAAATGATCATATTTGTTGAAAGATTATGTATTTCGGCTTGGATGTCTTTTAAGTTTTTCATCGTTTTCAGAGCCGAGATTCATGGGCAGAGACAGAACGATGGCTGGGGCAAAGGTATATGGAGATACAGCCGAGAGATGGAGGGAATGAACGGTTTAAGATACTCGGATATCAATGGCGATCACTTCATTTCAACGATGATACTCGGCAGAGCACCGTGAAAGTCATGGCTGCCTGTATGGGATCGCAACCAGGTTCCGTCTTCTTTGCTCAACAGCCTCATTGCCTTGCTCTTCCTTGTAATTCCCCTTTCCTCTTTCTATATATGTATATATAAATCACTGAGATGCTCGTAAAAAATGGTTTTGACATGATTTGAATTGTTTGTGATAGATGTGAGGAGCATGGTTTCGGTGGGGCTGACTACTCTTGCGGCTTCTAAATATGATTTGAAGAGTGCAGCCTGTGGGAAAAAACCGCTGAATATATTGTGCATTGGTCATGGCGGAGGAAGCTTACCTCTGTTTCTTGCTAGTCATGTTCCTGGTAAGAACTTCAGTTTTAGCTGTTTTAATGGAGCATTTTCCTGAACATTCTATCTCGGTTTACATGTGTGGGAATTCCCTCCCTTCTTCCAGGAGCTGTTGTTACCATAGTGGAGATTGACCCGATTGTTATCTCAGCATCAATTCGGGCAATGGGTTTCCCGGCATTTTCTGTGATGACATCGGAAGGGCAACACTCATTACCAAGCCCTGACATTACTGACCAAGTGCTGTGGCGAGACATCCATGAGAGACTCCGCCTCTACGAGTCAGATGCCGAGGAATTCGTCCTAAAGGACAAAACTGTATACGATCTCGTCTTCATGGACGCTTATGACGGAGCAGACATCTTTTCCCACAAGCTCTGGGACTCGAATTCACTCTTCATGAAAGCTTTGAGCGAAAGATTGCATCACGGGCATGGAACCCTAGTGGTGAACCTCCACTCGGATTCAGACGTGGAAGAACAATACAATTCGAATCACCACCGCATAATCATGGGGGGGAAGTACACGGGGAAAGTGGGCGAAGCCTATAGGAGAGGCTTACTGGGCGGTGACAAGAACGGGTTGGTGTTTGCTTGTGCTGTCCCGTGGCTGTGCAACATATCGCTAGTCGTAAGCAGAGGTCTGAGATCAAAGGGTTTCGGTTCTATGAACAGAGACACGGTTATGAACAATCTCATGAACACATCCTTGGAAGTAGATCATGTTCTGAGGTTGCCATTTTCTTGTTGGGAACACTTGAAAGCCGGTATTGCTGTTCTTGATTGACCTTGTAGTACTCTGACATTCCTTGTTTTGTCTGATCTTGGTTTTTGTGTTCTTAATATATGGGCAAATCTTGGATTTAGAACCAGCTTCTGTCTACTACTTACCCATTTATATACATTGTCGGTGTTTAGTTGGAGATAGTTTTGCAGGAACCAAAAAAATTGAAGAAAATCTGGAAAGATTTGCAGAGGAAACAGTCATATACTACCAGAAGAGAAGAAGGAAAATGTTCAAAACCATGCATGCTGTCATCAACGAGCTCGAAGCTCCTGCTTGCATTCTTCCCGAAAACCCAGTGTCAATCATCAACGGGAACTCGCAACTTTCATCTGATGGATCTTCATCTGTGATCAAACCCAAACCCGAGAAATCGCAGTCCCAGGTTTTCTGATCATACATTTGATAATACATGTTAAATGCATATGAAGCATTCCCTTGAACGGTGAGATGGTTGCAGGAGGATCCGTACTCGAGAGCAGTACAGTCCGATAAGCTGCAGGCATAATCGATGTTTTCAGCTAAGTCGTCGAGGTTATGGACACGAGGATCCAAAATGCACCATCTTCTGGGCAGATACTTCACATCCTCAACCGGAACCAGAGGCTTGTCCTTACGTTTTCCCGACAAGTCAAGCTCATATTTTGGCTTCCCGTCAAACTCGAAGATCCCCCAGTGCCTCTCGAACGTTCCAGGAGCGATACTCTTGGCATCCTCATCTACGAGACTGAACAGGTATATCTCCATAACCCCTTTTCTAACTGGAGTTCCATTTCCTGACAGAGCATGCTTCACCATTCCCTGGTTGAATCTCTTTGCAGTGTCTGAATTTGCATTCTTGTCCCCATCAGTCGGCCATCCAACCTCTCCGACGATGATCTCCATGCCCGAAAACCCGTACCTTCCAAGAGCCCATATCAGAGTGTCGAGATTGGCATCAAACACATTTGTGTAGACCAAATCTCCATCTCTCAAGGGCTTGTTTGTTCCGTCGAAGAAAGCAAACTCCAAGGGGAAGAATTCATTTCCATAGAGGCTGAGAAAAGGGTAAATGTTGACGGTAAAGGGCGAGCCGTGAGAATACAGGAAATTTATGATTTCGATGGTTTTGTCTCTGAGTTCCGGTCTGAAATCTCCGGCAGAAGGGACCGGGTTCGTGTCTGGAGAATAATAGATGTCTGCATTGAAAGGTGTAGTGACTTTGACGCGGTCACTCAGGCTGGCTTCGTCAAGGGCTTGTTGGATGTTTGTGAGAGCTGGTAACGTGAGCTCCACGTAAGTTCCGTTGTACGTCCTAAGAAATGGCTCGTTTCCTACTGCAATGTACCTGCAGCATTCATCATTCCATGTTTCGAGTTAACATCCATGGAAAAACTCCATGGAAGTTGCAGAGACATGAGCTACTTGAAATGCAGGAAGAAATCCATGAAAGTTGGCAGAGACATGAGCTTCAAATGCAGGAAAAAATCCATGAAAGTTGCGGAGACATGAGATAATGCAGGAAAAACCCCGTGGAAGTTTCAGGGAAACGAGCTTGAAATGCAGGAAAAACTCCATGAAAGTTGCAGAGACATGAGCTACTAGAAATGCAGGAAAAACTCCATGGAAGTGGCAGAGACATGAGCTAGGAATGCAACACAAGAAAAATGGTATATTTCTTTCTCCCACAAACATGGAACCCCCTTCATCGTGAATCAAAGGGAACCTGGCAACTCAAAGGAAGAAGAACCACAGTTTTTACAGAACTTGATATTAACTCCGCCATTGAAGGTATAAGCAGTGACGTTCTCTTCGACCCAGGAAGCAGCAATGGCGAGATCTTGACCGATCTCCTGCAACATCCTGTTCGGTATTCCGATCATCACTTCGATGTCGGTTCCGACCAGAGCATTCAAGATGTCCTTGTCCACTTCGAACAGTTTCAGCTTGTTGAATCCATTGTTCTTCAACATCTTCACCACATTCTCCGGTGGAAGCTGGTGAGTCGCCATTGTTCCCCAGTTCACTCCCACACTTGCGGAGCTACTATTGCCTTTCTTGCTCCTTGAAGCCATCGAAACTTGTGAAACAAGTAACAGACACAGAATCAGGGAAACATGGTTTTGTCTTGTTGATGTTCTTGTCATGTTTTTTTCTCCGTTTCCAAGATTTTTTTTTCTGGGTTCTTGTGAAGGAAGTAGAATTGAATCGATTTGAAGGATTTAGGATTCGGCAATTCGAATTAAAATAATTCAAGAATAAAATAATATTCAAAGAGAGACAATGTGTGTAAGATTTTGAAGATTTGTTAATACAGTTATGGTGGCAGACACAACATGCAAAAGAGATTTTTGAGCGTTGTGGAAATACTTTTTGCATGTTTATCTGATCATCCACGTGGCATTGGCCCACCAAATATTTTACACTTTCTTCAACATAAAATTCTTATGCACGTTGCATTTAGATATATATATATATATATATATATATATATATATATATATATGCATATGGCCAGATGTGTCAACTATATGATAATTCAATCGCCAATCTTTCTATTTAATTATAAAGAATGTGCAAAATGTCATTCAAAAATCATTTACGCCTTCTGAACTTTGTAATTGATGACTAATTCGAAGATAATATTTATAGTTTTTTTTTGTAAAACCAGAATTTTAATATGATTATTAAATTAGGCTCGTAGAGTACAATATACGTTCAACTCCTTTTGTCTTTTTGGTCTTGAAGAAGGATTTGTAATAAAGGCTGAAAGGCTATTTTCTGAACCATTTCTGCAAATAGATTCGGGTACGATAAAGAAATTAAACAGTACTTTCTAGATTTTTACAAAATATTTTTCGAAGAAAAATGTATATATTAATTTCAATATGAAAAGCCACTAGCTTTACACCCTTAATCTACGTGTTTCTTCACTCTCGTCTCCCTTTTCCTTTCCCTTTTTCTTTTTTTTTTCTCTAATTAAATCTTTGGACAGGCTTAATTAAATGTTTATTTGGAATGTAAAAGAAATCGGACCCTTTTGGCAATAATATTTCACTTTAAAAAATAAATAAATGATGCTTTGTGTAATAAAATATTTTCTATGACATTTCATTTTTCACAAAACAAATAGAGGAGAGGAAGAGACAGATACACAATCTGAGAAATCTAAGAGCTTTCTGTTTTTATTGGCCAACCCTTCATGGATACAAAGCATTACCGTTACCGTAACCGGTCCGAAAACCAGGCGCATTCCTG